AATCGGAGCTGGCTCAGCAAAACGTTAGTCACGGCAAGTCCCACCAAGGCCAGGATCGGAAAGGTGTAAGCACCAATCCCTGGCTACGCCTCAAGGGTTCAAAACCATTTCTAAATATAGAACCCACTTTATGTTTGCAGGAGTTATAAATCAGGGAAAACAACTTTTTTCTATCCCCAATAAAATATTTGCACCCAAAGCAAAATCAGTCGATTTCTGGCTTTTTACCAGTTTTGCTTGGGCATAAAATTTTCTGACACTTCACCAGAAATGTCAGCAATAGTATAAGGCAGCTTTAAAGAGGGATATAATTTTCTGACCTGTGGATAACCCCTTTAACCCCAACAGGAAAAAGGGGGAAAAGCACACCTGAAACCTGGTTTTTCCAGTTATTAGTATAAATGATAGAAATTATTTTTCTTAGTGGTCAAATCCTTCCTTACAGGAAGTATTGATCTTTGAATTTGGTGAGGGGAGAGATCATGCCTGTTTTACTGCTATATCCCCAATACCCACCCAGCACAGACCCTCACTTGAAGAACGATTTCAATAAATAGTCAAGGAAGGAGAAGAAGAAGAAGGTGGGGGGAGGAGAGGAATAGAGAGAGAGAGAGAGGAAAAGAAGTAGGAATTGAAAGTGAGAGGTTCAGGTGAAGATATTTTCCCCTCTCCTTTTATTTCTGTCTTCATTTTTCTTGAACTTGCAAGCATCCAACTTGATAGAAAACCATTTATATCTTTTGACAGGGCCTCCTGTCTGAAGCCAGATATACCATCCAATGCAGTCAACTCAGGTTCCAGAAAGAACCACAGCAATTCTCCATGGAGACAAAGAAAAGAGAGAGTGGAGTGAGACAAACTCAATGAGTGCTCCTTTATCCAATGGCAACAAGAACATGACTGCTGCCCCCCATGTATGGCACAGCACACTGCACAGAGCACACATAGTCAGTGGGCTCAGGGAAGGCTTGGTGGAAGAGGTAACTCCTGCTCTGGCTTTGGAGGGGCAGGATTTGTATAGGAAGAACCAGAGGCGTGGAAAGGGGTTATAAATCTCAGAATTAAAGGAGAGGCTGGCTGCACAGCTAGCAGGACAGTTTTTCCCCAAAGTGCTTCATGGAATATATTCAATGAAAACCATATTCAGAAAATTGAGGATTGAACAGAACTGCACTGGTTTTTTTTTTACTGCAGACCTTCTCAGTGCTTTTACTATGCAACTGGAGCAGAAGTGGCAGAAGATCCCATTTGTATAACAAAATGGATTGATTTGGGGGCATAAAAAAAATGCCTTTTCTTACTAGCTGTATAAATTTAGCAAAATGTTCAACTTTGATGAACACATTTCATCTTACCTAATATGGAAAAAAATGATAGTCCCAATCTTAGTTGTTATGAGAAGTGAACACTAAAAAGAACACTAAAAAAAAGTGATTAATTTAGTGTTGGCACTTAATTAACACCACATGTATTACTGTTGCTGCTTCTGCTCCTGTTGTTTCTATTATTATTATTACTAACTTATGTCATGAATATAAAAAAGAAAAATGTAACATACAGCATTTCTTAAACGGTTTGGTCAGTTTTTCATCAGATATTCTTTGGAAATGCTAGGTCAGCACATAGTGCCTAGCCTAGTATACAGTAGGCGCTCACTATGTATTTGTGGAGGAAACGGGGCAAAAAAACTGACCCTAGCAAATAACAAATGGCAGAACACTAAAAGGATGCTCTGGGAAAGGTGTTTTTCATTATTTCTTTGGGCAAGAGGCCTCTGAAGTCTGTGAGGAGTGACTTCATCTTTTGCTAGAAGAATGAGGGATTGAAAGCACAATGTTCAGCTTTGGGGAAACATCACAAAGAGTTTATTTTCGTAGAAGTGTTTGAAGTGATTCTATAATAATGAGCTCACGCCTGCTGCCAGGCACCAGCCATCAACTTGAGCCTGCTTGCAGGCCAGTGTACGCGGTCCCTCACTGACAGCCCCTTCGTCAAACATGTGATGCCCATGTGCAGGAAGGATCCCAGAAGACTTGCTCCAAAGATGGCTCCCTCCTCTCCAAGAGGGCACACTGAGGCCCAGATAAGGAATCAGCTGACCTGGAATCCAAAGCGAGCTGAAGACTGAGAGAGCTGGGGAGAAGCCTGCGTCTTCTGGTTTTACTCGGTTAATTTTCTATACTTTTTGTTTTTTTTTAGTCAGTTGCTGCATACATTTTTGGAGATAGCCTCATCTGTCATAAGTCACACGCTAATCTCACAAATAGTTACTAGAAATGCACAAGTTTCATGTAAACCCTCCCCCTGAGTACAATACAGAGATCCTGATAAACCTCTCCAGCTTCCCACTGGTTTGTGTATAAAGACATTCTTGACAGAACTGGAGTTTACTGGAGTGGAGATCTGAAAGATTTGGAATATGACACTTGTATTTTTACCAAACCCAACACTTAATATCTGTCCACCTGAATTTAAGCATGAGCGTCTACATAGAATTTGAAGAGGAAATGAAGTCATCTAAAAAGCAGTTGAAGGGAGAACTTCCCATGGAGTCCACAGCACAAAGAAAAGTCTCAAGAATTATTGCAGCTTCCGAACTTCAGACTGGGAGGTGGGAATGTGCAGGGCAAACCATAAACTATGGTAAGAAAGACCAGACACAATTTTTCTAAAATATATGATATATACATACACACACATACACACATATATATGCATACACACATATGTATCTCAACTGTATGCCATATAAAGAAAGTACATGGTCAAGACTTCCTGCATTCAATTCAATTATTATATTTCATTTTATTTTAACTGGTAAACCTGGAAGTAGTTGGGAGAAAAGCACAGTTAATTCTGGAAACCTGTTAAAGTTCAAGAAAGATTCCAGGACTCTGAAGACTTGTTTCCAAGAGGTCAGAGCTGCCCAATTCTTCCTACACTAAAAATATAACCGGAGATGATTATCCACAATGATTGCACATTTTCTCTGCCATGTTCATTTGAGGCAATAGGTTAAATGATATGAACCTTGATATAACTCCTATAGTTCATCCAACTAGATTTGGCATGCACACTTTGCCACACGCTATCAACACACCCTGCCCCTTGTCCAGGGAACCACTGGACACCCATAACCCCTCCCAGTCCTATCTTCTGAGAGTCAGAGTTCATGTTCATTTTCCCTGTATCATATCTTCTGAAAGTCAGAGTTCATGTCCATTCACCATAAAATAGGAAAAAAAAAAAAACAACAACAACACACACAAAAAAAACAAAACAACCACATAGTGAAGTTCCTAGAGTGTAGTGTATGTATGTGTGTGTGTGTGTGTGTGTGTGTGTGTGTGTGTGTGTGTGTGTATATATATATATATCCACAGCAGAGTGTAGATAAAAAACTAAAGGCCCTGATAGGACGCTTGAGGTGTGAGAGCAAAAGGGATCCCTATATCTCAAGTGCTTTAATATTAAGAGGTGCAGGTTAGGGCAGCAAAGGGAAGGCAAAAGGGAGGGGATAAAGGCAGGCAAGGAGAAAAACTTGAAGCTTCATTAAATGAGTGGATGAAAAACTTGTAGAAAAGGTTTGGATGTATGTGTCCAAGCCTCCCCCATCCCACCCTACCCTACCACCCATTATCATGGCTGTGTTTCTGCCTGTTGGCGTACCAGATTTGTTCTGCTCCAGAAAGTGAATTAAGAGTCATTAGATTTGGGAATTAGAACAGTTCTCTGGGGTCCATGCTTTTAATTTCTGATCAGATCTCTGGGAACTTTTGAGAATGAGGCTTTCCTGCAGTGTGAGGAAATTCAGTCAGTTCTAGGGGGATACCCATTGTGGTATGTGAGAGTGGCAGAGAAATATTCAAGGACTATGAACCACCAGGATTGGAAGTCAGCAATGGGACAAAATTAGCAGATGAGCAGGATGCCTTGTTTTGAAATAACTTGGTACTGGAGTAAATGCATTGGTCTGGTGGCTTGGGTGATGGGGCAGAATAAAGGGTTGCAGATCCTGTGTACAGAGAAGAAAATAATATTGCTTGCCTCTCAATAGAGCAACTATACTGACTACCCACATTGATTTGATGCTTTTTTTTTGAGGTTTAGGTTGCCTCAAATCCTCGAATGAGCATCCTTTAGTAAACTCATTGAATGATAAGGAAATCGCTACATATTACCATGTTTTATTGGAAAGAGAAGTTGTCCTTGACTTAAGGAAGAAGAAATTACTGGCTTGGGCTTCCTACATTGGAAGAATCAAACCTGGGATGGATTTTCAGATAAAATGCCCATTTCATGTCTTAATATTGAGGTACACACAGTCATCAGTGAATCAAGTTTTACATTTGGTTCCATATGCTATGCGTTATGGTATATAAAGGTAATTAAAGTATGCCTTATGGCTAATAAAAATGAAGTTAGAAAGTTAAAACCAAAACAATGTCAGGAAATAACATGTGTGTACAATATGCTAGTAACACAGATAATTTTCAAAAGTGACTTTTTAAAAAGTATTATAAATCTTTCAAAACACAGTGATTTATTAAGCAAAAAGTCCGAACAGTTTGCACTATTAAATTTAGCTTTTAAGTTGCTGTGTCATGGGCAGATCTTTTGTTCTCCTAGGTTAAATTTAGCCTTCTGCATTTTGTTCTCTCCACAGCTCCATGTTGTATCATCATGCAGTCAATTTTCCGAACTGCTCAGGAGAAATGCTCTGGGGAGTTATCATGATAATTTCTCTTATGGATTTTATAATCCAGAAATAGAATTAAATAAGCCAACAGTGACTTATAGCCATCTTCCTCCTTGCCCCTTCCCACCTATACAGTCTTCTCATAAAATAAACCTTCCTGAGGCATGGAATGAAATGGGGGGTGGGGGGACGCAGTGGCCAGAGGAAAACCATTTCAGAAATGTGTTTGTTAAACAAGTGCAAGCCATAAATTGAGCTTAGGAGGGAAAGGCAGTTAGAAGAAAAACTGAAAATTACTGACCTGAGAGTCAAGCTGATTGGAGCAAGGGTGAAAGCAGCAATTTGGAGGATAAGCAGAAAGGAAAAGGGATAGCAAAAGAGAATAAAAGGAAGGAAATGAATTAGTTTTAAACATATAGCCAACAGATGTCATATCAGCAGGTTTATAACCAAACAAAGCAAACTTTTATCTTATATTACCCCCAAAAGCCCTGGGCATGCATTGTAAGCTGTTATGTTAAATATCATACTAAAGAAACTAGTATCTGCTCTGATATGTATAATTACAAAAAGCACTGATGTGAACTAGAGATGTGCTCCCACAACACAATGACAGCATCAGCCCTTCTCTGGAGGAATATTTATAGAGAAAGTTCCTATCTGTGTGCATATACAATTTTATTATTTAATAAATTGAAATGGAAACTACTAAGGTATTAGACCTGGGTAAGTGCTGATGCCAGAACGATTTTAGTTTGAACCAGTAATTTGGATGGTTATATCCTATGAGATATTTTTCCTTCATCCCTGAAAACTGAAAGGAGCTGAGCAATTTGGCTTTCGGTTCAAAGATTTCCATTTTAGATGCTTACAGAGCACTGCAACTAGCTATGATCAAAGACCTCATGAGGAGGGTTTTTGGTGGTGTGCCACCCACCTGTCAACCTCCCCAACAAGGACAGAGTAACTTCTCAAGCTAAGAGTAATTTTTTTTCAGTCAGGAAAATGAATTTCCAACTACATCACTGAAAATATCAAGTTATCAAGTTATAATACTTTTTAGCTTGTTTGTATAAAAATACCTAGCATGCCCTTCTCATTGATTAAAACAATAGTCTCTGTTGTCTAGCAAAAAAAATGAAATAAAATGAAACAAACCAAAAAAATATATTCATCTTCCAGGCTGCTACAGGAGCACATAGTGGACATTCATTTTGTTGATCTGTAAAATGCCCTTTGCAAAAACAAAGTGGATAAACAAATACTTTTCCAGCTTTCTGCTCAATGGGGCCCCACCATTCCATACTCTAAAAAAAAGTAGTTTTAGGTATTTCACATTGGAAGGAAAAACAAAACAAAATAAAATAAATCCTCAGGATAAAGCTTAAGCTAGAACATTTCAAATGAAGACAGTGTTGACTACCATGATAGAACTGAAAGAGAAAATTTAAGATTAACCACATGGGAAAAGTGTTGATTTGATAATCCCTTGTATCTGAAATCCCCCTGAAGAGTATTTTGTGATCATAAATGCACAATGATTGAAAATGATAGTTATGTCAGGACACGATCACTGTGGGGACTTTGGCAACACTGGCCGCAGCTGCCATTCCAAATCCTTCTGGATCAAAGGTAATTAAATCAAGGTCCGTGGCCAAGCCTTAGGAAATCCTAAACTGAAATAGCAAGCACACATCTCAGAGTAGTTGCCTCTTTCAGGGGCTCCTAGTTTTCATCAGATTCTCAAAGGTGTCTGTGATGTCCATGACCTTCCCCAAAAGGTTGCTAGGAATGGCATATAACCATCTGCCACTTGTTTTCAAGAAGTTTTTTCAAATACATTAACAAATGTAAGTGAAAATTACTCAGCAAGAAACATTTATATCAAAACAAATAAAACTGGCATGAAGTTTTTTCCATGTACCATGAAGCTTCTAAAACATATTATCATAATTTAAAAATAACAATAAAGCTTAAGTTTATGTTTTGAACAGAGCTCTGAAAGGCATCAAGGAAATTATGTTAGCACACTATTGAGCAAATCAGAAGAAAAAATAACATTCTCTTTCTCAAACTTAGATAAGACTCTTTTAGGCAACTAAAATGATTTCTCAGTGTCCAGATGTCTGATAATATTATTTCTCCAGCCAGATAATTAAGTGGAAGCCTGTTTTCCATTCTTATGTTATGTCTTATGAGTAGAACCCCCAGGGATCCAGCCTCCTCTCCACATTGGGGAGGTATGTGATTGAGGTCTCAATTTGGGCATTCTCCATTCTCTAGATATATACCAACAAAATCCCTAACATATTTAAGATAATTACATGAAAAGTCACCCGACTGATTCCTTCCCATGGGTGGGATGTGAGAAATATAGTAGCAGTAGGTCTTATTTGACAGATTCTATTAACCTCTCTCTTTCCCCTAAGTCACCAAAGGATTAATTCTGAAACTCTAAATAAAATTCAGAGACCTTGATGGGCACTGACACAGAAGCACTACATATTTCACTGCCTGCAAGGTTTAATTAGCCACTAGGTTGTGTAATATACATAACATCTGACATTGGGGATGGAATAGACTTCAGTCAAATTTGAACCAACTCTCAGAGACTCGTTCAAGGCCCACCACCCACCTGGTTGCAAACTCCCCTGAGCTCCCTGTAGTCCAAGGCAGAAGCTCCCCACTGGGCCATGCAAGAGTTTACAGGCATAACTGCACGTGGGACCACACTAGAGCAACATGCACTTTAAAAAGTAAAATCTATAATGGCTGATGAGAAACATCACTCACATGGAATTTAAGAGGTAAATGCATTGTGTAAATGCTAGCCATGTGCTATCTGGAATGGAAAGATTAATAGAATAGAAAGTAAACACATACTGTCTTCTGAGACAGAAGAGGGCCAGTGTCAAGGCTGTCTGAGTTATTCCTAACCCTGCACCTTTTGTGGCGTACAATTGAAGTTCTGGAATATTTTAGAACATTTGCAAAAGAGGTCTTTTCACTCTGGTAGATCACATTAAAAGCCAGAGACCACAAATTTATTTCAAGTTCAATATTTTGGTTTTCAAAATTACAAATTTAATTGCAAACATTTTTTCATGACTCCAAGATGGAGATACATGTCACATTGCTAAGAACTCTTTAGTTCCCAATATAGTCAGGTATTAATTTTGTAGTTTAATCCAGCAAATGGCAATATTGCCCAATAAAAAAAAAAAAAAGCTGCTTGGCAACTGGAGGAAGATGTTTTAGTCAGAATACACACGTAGTACAGCAGATAATGCTTCAGAAAGGGAGGCCAAGCCTGAGCCCTCTTTTTCCCAAGAAACTTCCCCTCTGAATCTCCACCCCCACTTCCTTAGGGGCCTGGGCTGGGGCTGGGGCTCAGACGTTTCCCAGACAATGCTCTGCTGCTGGACTCAAGACACAGGCAGGCAGAGAACTGGGACAGACTCAAGTCCCACCACACGTTTTATGAATTACAGTGCCTGGGAGGCATCAGCTTTAAGGAGAGGCAAAGGCAGAGATAAAGAAAATGTGCAGAGAGTACATAAAGATAAATGCCTGTAAAATCACTGCTGATTTAATGCATTCCACATTGAAGAAATAAAAATCTGAATATTCTTGATGATTTAAAGGCAAGAGTGTCCAGCTAAGATCTGTTTGTCCAATTAGACCATTAAGTTGTTTATATGTAAACGTTTGTAGTAGCTTGTCCTGATTTTCAATTACAGTCCTGGAGGGGAGGGGGCTGATTTTGCATAGAAAAATCCCATCTAAATGTGAAGCACATCACTTTCTCTCCTGTATGCTAACACAGAGGTAGATCTCTTGCGGCCCAGCAGCAATGCCTGCTCAGGAAGGCTCTCCATTGGCTGCATGACTGCTTAGTGCTGTGGTACTAGCTTCTTTCTTCTGGCCCATTAGGGAAGGGATTGTACTCAATGGCTCATCTGTCAGCCCTGGGTTCAAATCCCCACTTGATTCTTATGAGCTCTGAAACCTGGAGGAAGTTACTTAATCTGTATAAATCATAGTTTCTCATCTGTAAAATGAGAATAATGATAGTTTCTGTATTGTGGGTAAGACTAAAAGGTATGCAGTATTGCAAATCAAGTGCTTAGCAGAGTACTGGCATACTGTGAGCATAGACTATACATACCCTGGTATTACAAATAAAACTAATATAATTATCAGTATTATTTTCTAGGGCATCCTCCACATAGTTCACAGCCTCTCAGAGTAGTGGACTAGGAATCAGGAAACTCACATTACAGTTTCGCATTTTTCTGACCATAGGCCCAATCTCAGGAAGGTCATTCAACTTTTAAGATCTCAGTTTCCTAATCAATGAAAGAGACATGATCATAACTTTCCTGTGATTTCATGCCAGTTTTTTAAGAAAAATTTTGGCCTTAAAACATAGTTCCAAAATAGTCATGTAGATCCACCTATAAAATCACAGTGCCCCCTGCTTTTTAAGAACCAGGAGACTAGCAGAACATTCCTACATTTTAAAATTAAAACAAAGCCCTTTCAGGATTCTAATTTGGACAGTTACCTCAGAAAAAAAGAAATCCCTCACTTTATTGCTAAAATTGGTCACATTGAATAAAAATCAATTTATCATCAAACTAATGCTAAGATTATGAAGAGAAATATTAATTTAGAGTTTGAATGTACCAAATACTATACTTGAAAATGTTGAAATCTTATTGGAAATTAAACTGTTTGTTTAATACAGAGACAATTAATGTTGAGATTTTTGTTTGTTTATTTTCTTAGAGACAGGGTTCTTGATCTATGGCCCATGCTGGAGCGCAGGGGCTCATAGTTTACTGCAGTCTTGAACTCTTGGACTCAAGTGATCCTCCTGTCTCAGCCTTCTGAGTAGCTGGGACCACAGGCACCCACCACCACATCTGGCTAATTATTGTAGTTGTAGATACAAGGTCTTCCTATGTTGACCAGGCTGGCCTCAAACTCCTAGGTTCAAGCCATCCTCCCACCTTGGCCTCCCAAAATGCTGGGCCACCACATGAGCCACCACATCTGGCCTTAAAAATTTATTTGTTTTAGCATTTGACTGTTCTTAATAATATACGTGTCCCACCTTACCTGGGGACCGATTGCTTGCAAAGCATCATTTGAATAAGTTGTTAGTGATTCACTGACTTCTAACAAGATTCACGGCCATAAAAGGATAAGGACGGAAGATCACTCGAGTCCAAGAACTGGAGACCAGACTAGGCAAAACAGTGAGACCCGATCTCTACAAAAGATTTTTTTAAAATTAGCCAGGTGTGATAGTGTGCACCCGTAGTCCCAGCTACTCAAGGGACTGAGGCAGAAGGATCACCTGAGCCCAGAGGTTTGTGGCTGCAGTGAGCCATGTCCACACCACTGCACTCCAGCCTGCATAGCTGGCAAAAAGTAGAGGTGAAATTTGAACCCAGGTCTTTCTGTCACTGAAGCCCATGATCTTTCCACAAGATGATAGAGAGCTACTCTATGTACATCTTGAAGTCCTTTAGGGTCTCACAAGTGTCTCAAAGCTGGTCAATATTCATAGGTTTATTCAAAATGTGGTGATTTCTACCATATGGACTAAATCTGGGAAACACAAATTCTGCCTTATTGCTGAACCAATAAGAAATCTGCAGAGGTTATGGAGTTATGTAAGTTTTTTCAAAAAGTTCTTTCCTTACATGAAGTACAGGAAAAACCATTGACAGTAAGCTTAGTTTTAGAGTCTACACTATACATAAATATAATATAGATATGATTTATCTGAAAAACTAAATATTCTGATACAATACTCTCGGTTTTTACACAGAATTTGCTATCATGTAGGACCTATTCAAGTATATGTATTTAAAAAGGTCCTCTTAAGAGATAAACCTCCAGGAAGGATTTGTTGTGGTGTGCCAAGAGACATGCAAAGGATATGAGCTCCTTCCTTCTTCCCCTGTCTTGAATGAAGAATTCCCAACTATATTCTTTGGTTTTTGTTGTTGTTATTGTTGTTTGCTCAAGACAAAACTAAACCACAAATATTTATCTGTGATGGAAAAGAACTGAGGTTTTGTGTAGTCAAAGCCCCAGTTTCTTACTCAATTCCCTGGAAAAATGCTAGATCATGGACATCACTCAAGAAAGTTGACCACTATTTTCTTCAACACTTAAGAAGCTTATAATCCCTCAGTGGATAAGCCAATTGCATTCTTACCATTCCACAGAAATGTCATCTTTCACAGGCCATGTTCCTCACTCACAACTTGTTTCTAACTTGTAATATGAACGTACAGTCCAAAGCCACCACAACGGTAGATGGGCACCCATGCAGTCCGTGTTCTCTCACTGTCAACAATTTACATGACTGCAAAATTTACCTCTCCAGTTCTGCAATCTTCTTGTCCTTGTCATTCTTCTCATTCTCCACCTCCTTTAGGATCTCCAGCAACCGGTCCACTTCCGCTTGGGCCTTGCCACACTCATCACGGTAGTAAGACGCCTCTTTATCGAGCTGTTTTATTCGGTCTGCGAACTCAGGGTTCATCCTGGAGTCATCTTCAATATTATGTGCCTTCAACGTTACATTTTTAAAGAATGCAATTAAGACAACAATTTAGAACAATAGATAGTGCAGTCACCAATGGCCCAGAAATTAACTTTGGAGAGAAAATCACCACCAGAGATTTATGGGTATATTGTCAGCGAAAAGGCAAAATAGAAAAAGCACACATTTCAGCTACCTTAGAACAATGTTGATTTTAAAATATTACAGTTTCACAGGGGAGTTTCTTTGATTATTGATATTTTGTTCCATTAAATGTTGCTACTTTTAGATTTTCTTTCCACCAAAAAGTGGGGTTAGAGACTGTGATGTCTTTATTCCCGGTTATTACGCAAGCAGAACTAAGACAATTCAACTCCTCACAGTTAAAGAGGTGATTCACACAAAATGCTTCCATTTCCAATACAAAGACACCAAAACAACACAATATTGGTTTACTTTCCAAGAACTATCAAGGGCATATGTAAAGCCAGATAATGTATAAGAGATTGATTGATTGACTAATAATTGAACATTTCATCCCACAGAGAAATTTCAGGAGGAAATGTAGTTTGAAAGGAGGATTGGAGGTGAGAAAGGGCTTTCCAGCTAACAGTTATACCCATAAATTCTCATTTCCTTGAATAAATTTAACCTAAACCAGGAGGAGGATGAGCTAATTCATGAACAAGTACACAGACAAGAATCTGCAAACACATGCATGGGTGAGTGGCAGCTTCACACACAAGAAAAGACACAGGCAACAACACAGCAACAACACTGCAGAATAATTTGCAGCCAAAGTATTTGTGGGTTTGTGTGTGAGAATGCGTTACAGCTTTTTTTTTTTCCCAAAATAGGCTTTTGGCTGAAATATTCCCAGACAGATAGAAATAACACTGCACTGCAACGTTTTGCCTACCCCTTGTTTCCCATTATTCCTAATTGACTTCTTCAAAGAGCAGGCAGGGAAAAAACAAGTCATTTAACAACAGTGCACATTCAACATAGAAAGTTCAGATAAGTCATATATGTATGTATCTCCAAAATCCATGGGTGGCATAATCAAATGTTAACAATTTATAAGGACTTAAGTTGTTCTGCTGTCTTGCTATATGGAGCAGATATCCATTGTATTTTTGTATACTTTTTTGAAAATTTCAGGGAAAAAACAAGGCAAGCAAGCTACAGCTACTGTGGGATTGAATGAATCATGCATGGTTAGAAAAATTAATACTAATACTACTGTTAGAAGTTTTGACAGTCTTTGCAATGATTTAGTAGAAAAAAATTCAAAAATTAGTATAAATAAAATAAATTCCATATGACAAAATAATCATTTTAGAAATAATATTTTTGCATGTAACATATTATTTAAGCATGAGGATAAAGGAGAAAATTTTGCTTTCCTGTTCTTAAATCTAAGATTTCCTTATTTAAGAAATAAACTCAACTATACAGAAGAACTTGAGAAAAATACGTCAATTCAACAGATTATCAGGTACTGGCTTATTCCCGTTCACCAATATTTCTCAGAAAACATTTGTTTTCATTTATTTACTATGCACTCTGTGTCTCATTATAACACATTTTTAAACTTTTTCAGTACAATTAAAATGATCTGAAAGGGATCCTGAGCTAACACGCCTTCAGGAGTACAGTCAACTAGTAATTTCATTTTAAGCTTAAGTAATGAATATTTAAATTCCCTAATCTCCACTTTAAAAATGTAGAGCAGAAATCCTATTTTAAAAGGAAGTAACTACTCCATATACCTGCTGCTATTTGTGATAATATGAATTGTTACTTTTGTTACAGTAAAGCATTTAAAATATGCAGCTTTTAAATAGCTAAAGAAAAAAAGGCTTTGTGTTAACCTCTTTCACTTTTATACTGTATTACCATTATTTTACAGCAGTTAAAAATCTTTTCATGACATTTCTTGAACTATCCAACCAGAGCTATTAAGATCTTTAAAAAGGAATTAATGAACTGAGTAATGAGCACCTGGAAGCACTCAAAACAAATGAATATATTTTGATTGCCTGTTTCTTACCAGAGTTAAAATTCCTTTCCTGATGCTGATTTTGAAAAATTCACAAATAGCTAGCAGTTAGCTGCTGTGGTTTATTTTGGTTATTATTACTGTCCCTTTTTAATAAGTGAGTACAGGATTACTAGTTGTGAGACCAAGATTTTAAATCCAGTTCTGCAGCTTATGTCTACAGGCAAATTAATTAGCCTAAAAATAGTGAAAACTACAAAATGATAAACATGGGGGGAGATATTATTCACTTGTGTTTTTATTATAATTATTATTTCATAATATGCATTCCAGAAACCTGGCTAATTCAGCTGAGTTAATAGGTTTATTTGATTTTCATTGACAAGATACTACATATTCCTTTAAAAAAGCCTCCTGGATAGCTTTACAGAGAAAGCGTAGTCTGCTAGTCATAGGTATGTACACATATTCCTTATTTTAGCTCCTTGAATAAAAGAGGATTACCCAAGGCCACTTTTCAACATTGGGTGAAATCAGATGAGTTTATAGTCTTTTCAAACCAGTAAGTAAGTATGGTTAAAGGACTCATGGGATATTTAGAAGCACAGAAAGCCTAGGAAAAAAACGTGCCTGAAGCCAGACTGTGCCACTGTTGACCTCATATGGTGCTGAAGTTAGGTAATGTTATTAGAATGAAGACCAGAGTCAAGTTTGCAGCTGGCCTGGTATCTACGTTAATAGATCACACTTCAAGTGCTAATGAGACTTCCATTTAAAATGAATAGACAACCTTGGCTGGGCACAGTGGCTCACGCCTATAATCCCAGCACTTTGGGGGGCCGAGGCAGGTGGATCATGAGGTCAAGAGATCAAGACCATCCTGGCCAACATGGTGAAATTCCATCTCTACTAAAAATATAAAAACCAGCTGGGCATGGTGGTGCACCCCTGTAGTACCAGCTACTCAGGAGGCTGAGGCAGGTGAATTGCTTGAACCCAGGAGGTGGAGGTTTCAGTGAGCCAAGATCATGTCACTGCACTCCAGCCTGGTAACAGAGTAAGACTCCATCTCAATAAACAAACAAACAAATAAATAAATAAAATTAAATAAATAAAATAGACAGCCTCAAGAATACCTGTGAGTTAAATATCTCTATCCCTATATCAGTATCTACTGATTTCCAAATAAAAGAACTTATGTCAAGCCACTTTCAATCTTGGTACCAAAATTCTTGGAAGAGCTACTAAAATATCATTTAAAATATTTTTAAATTAGTAAAAAGCTTTAAGAAAAAGTCATATAAAGATGAGAGAGAAACAACTGCTTCTTGGATCATTACTAGGGTCCATGTAAAGACTCAATGAAAGAGAGAGTTTCACATGACTGGGAAGGCTGGTGGGTCCCCAGCTAAACTTGGACATTAGAGGCAAAAGTCTCTAAAGAATTTACAAAAGATATTGTATATAACTGTCTGGTAGAAGGCCCCTCTGGCCCCATCCCCCAGCCACATGGAAGGAGCTTAACTTCCTTATGTGACTCGGCACAATGCCCCCGACTGAAGGAACTCCAGCCCCTTCCGCCTAGCAACCACCTAACCAATCATCACCCGCCACTTCTGCTCTCCCACCGCCCCAGGCCCTCTGCCCCTATAAAACCGACGGAACAAGGAAAGCGCGCGCGATTCATCCCTATCCGCCTGAGTCGCCCGGAGATCCCAATAAAGTCGGTACCGGCCACCGCGTGTCCTGCCTCGTGTCTACTGGGTGCCTGCCTCCGTGGGTTGGGGTCCCACAACCAGGGGTCGCACAAGTGGTGCCGAAACCCGGGAGGTTTGGGCTGCTGGCCCAGCCGCAGCCCCCTCCCCTTGGCGACCTCTCTGAATCCGGCTTCTCTGCACTCCGATTAAGGTAAGTTCGTTCTTTTTTCCTTACCTTTCCTTCCCCGTGGTGTGCACTGTGGTCCCTCCCAACCCCAAGTCCACGGACCTCTCGCCAAGAGCCGGCCGGCCCGAGCAGGGTCCTCCAACCAGGCTCCAGGAGCCTTTTGGGAACCGCCAGACAGGGGACGCCCTCTCTGACTCTTCCCTCCTCCAAATCTCTGGGTACTTGCAGCATAAGGGGGACGCCTCTTCCTGCATTTACTCAGCCGTTGGCAGGGAAATTACTGCTGCGCACGCCATGGGGAACACGGAGTCTAAAATACCCCCTAACTCCCCTCTTGGGTTTGTTTATTGCGCAATTTCTCCGAATTGGGATACTCGCAAACTCTGAGACGCAAAAAACTCATTTTCTTGTCTCAAGTGGCATGGCCCCAGTATCGGCTCGATAACCAGTCACATTGGCCCCCGACTGGCACTTTCGATTCCAACGTCCTTCGCGACCTTGATAATTTCTGCCGCCGTACAGGCAAAAACCGCGAGGTGCCTTATGTACAGGCTTTTTGGGATCTCCGTACCCACCCGGACCTTTGTTCCACTTGCTCTACACACCAGGTTCTTTTAGCCCAAGTTCCTCGCAAAAATTCCTCCACTATTTCTATTACTTTTCCCCCGCCTTACTCAATGCAGGAGGATCTGCCTGACCATCTGTCTCCTCCCACCAACCCCAGCCGCCAGCTACCACCAGTCGTTAGCCCTTCCTCCACTCCCCCCACGCTTCCCGCCTTAGAGACTCCACCTCCCTTTGTTTCCCCAGTGGCCGCCCCCTCCGCGCTTCCTGCCTCAGAGGCCCCACCTCCTCTTGCTTCTCCGGTGGCCACTCCCTCCGCGCTTCCCGCCTTAGAGACTCCACCTCCTTTTGTTTCCCCAGCGGCCGCCCCCTCCGCGCTTCCTGCCTCAGAGGCCCCACTTCCTCTTGCTTCTCCGGTGGCCACTCCCTCCGCGATTCCCGCCTTGGAGACTCCACCTCCCTTTGTTTCCCCAGCGGCCGCTCCTTCTGCGCCTCCCGCCTTAGAGGCCCCACCTCCTCTTACTTCCCCAGTGGCAGCCCATACCCACTCACACCAGCCCACTCTCCTGGCACCGCTCCGCGAGGTGGCTGGGGCGGAAGGTTTGGTTAGAGTGCATGTCCCCTTCTCCCTCCAGGATCTGTCACAAATCGAGCGCAGGCTCGGCTCTTTTTCAGCTGACCCCTCTACTTACATCAAAGAGTTCCAGTACCTCACCCAGGCTTACAGCCTTACTTGGCATGATATACGTGTCATCTGCACTTCCACCCTCACTGCCGAGGAACACGAGCGCATACTCACGGCAGCCAGGCACCAAGCAGACAGGGACCATGCCATAAATCCCAATCAAATCCCTGTGGGTACTGAAGTTATTCCCAATGTGGACCCCCAGTGGGACTACCAAACTGGCCACAGGTCCGACACACCCCAACGGGACCGCATGATCCAGTACGTTCTTAGGGGTATGGATATAGTCTCTAACAAAGTCGTCAATTATGACAAACTCAGGGAGATCACTCAAAGGGCAGATGAAAACCCCGCCCTTTTCCTTGGTCGCTTGCAAGAAGCGCTAGTTCGCTATACTCGACTAGACCCTGCGTCCCAGAATGGGGCCACTGTCCTAGCCTCCCATTTCATTTCCCAATCTGCCCCTGATATCAGGAAAAAACTAAAGAAGGTAGAGGTAGAGGAGGGTCCGGAAACCCCCATACAAGACCTGGTGAAAATGGCCTTTAAAGTTTTTAACGCCAGGGAGGACACAGCTGAGGCAGCCCGCCAAGCCCGAATGAAGCAAAATGTCACTTTGCTAGCTGCCGCTCTGAGGCCGGCAGGAACCCAAAAGCCAAAAGGCAGTTCTCGCCCTCCTCCTGGGGCGTGCTTTAAATGTGGAAAAGAGGGGCACTGGTCCTCAACCTGTCCCCAGCCTCGTCCACCCACCAAGCCATGTCCCGTTTGCCAGTTCATGGGTCACTGGAAGTTGGACTGCCCCAGTTTACCCAGG